TTACAACCTGGATTTTTTTTCTTGATTATTTCTCGCGTTGCGGATTCATATACATAGCCCATCTCTTTCACCACGGATCACTTGTATAGCATAGCACCATCTCATCGTACACTTGGTTTCAGCACTTGTCCCGCTTTGGCCTGGCCTCTCTTTTATTAGACTTCTACGGCTTTTTATTGCTATTCCTTTAATTAGCGTATCACAATCCCCGAATGATCGGAAAACACGTACAACCCCCTTTGTTGAGCATGTGAACACTTACATTTCCGTCCTGATGACCTCGTGGTACATCACACGTGCGCTCCGCTATGTCGCTCGAGGAACATTAATATTAGCTGCGCCGCAACTGACTGGGTGATGCAATTGCAGACTTCTTGTGTCATTCATGTTAGGGACCCCCGCTTGGAATGGAAGAATGCTGGACAAAGGAGACTCTGGAAATGATTGATTTTCAAGCTATGCCGCCGACCACGGGGAGAACACGGGTATCCTGCCTAACGTTATGTACTTGAGGTCTAAAAAGTTGAGATACGATAGAAACCCTAGCAAAATAAAAATCGATGGGTACTGGGTTTCACTCATCCCCTCCTTCATCTTCATCTTCATCGTCATCATCTGCCTCGTCCTCGGAAACCTCCATACCTGCTTCTCTCATCCGCTGCTTGTCTCGTCTGCGCTTAGTGCTCATGTCGTCGAGGAGGACCAGAAGATCCTCCTGCTCCTTCTCGACCTCCCTCTTCTTGCCATCTGATGTCTGCAATTCAGCCCCAAGCTCCACAATACGTGCCTCTGACTCAGCCAACTGTCGGTTAATCATAGTAAGCAGCAGCATCCGAATACATCCATGACTACGTACCCGAGCTTCAGCAACTGATAGCTCCTTGAGACGAAGTTGCAATGCGTCTATCTCCTGCACTTGAGAGCGAATGACGTCTTTGAGAGAATTGATGAGCATTGCGGACTCTGCACTTGGACCTGTGACCGCAAGTAAGTCAATGTGGCTGGTGATACTCTGTATCTTGTTCCTGACCTGACGATGAAGCCAGGGTGCTAGGGTCCGTTGCCAGACCTCTCTGGATGGTATCTTCAAAGAAGTCGTCAAATCAATTATATACGATAGAGAAACCTGGCAGCGCACGTTGATTTGATTTCCAGAAGTCGACGAAAGACCAGTCAAGCCATATTTCGCCTTCCTGTTCAACGGGTGGAGTGTTTTGGAGTGCCTTGGTCGGATAACGGAGTACCATGGATTCAGGGCTGATAGACTTGAACCAGTCGTGCTCTCGTACACGAGACATGTGACCGAGGAGCACATCTACGCCCAACCGAGAGATGATGGGATGTATGGTCGCGCTGTTAAATGTGCAGATATAAACACGCGTGAAAGACAAAGGATCAAATACACATGCCGAGTGATCTCTCCCGGTTCCCGATTGAACTCATAACAGATGCCCAGTAGAAAGGCGCAAATTCCAGGTATGAGGTCTTCTGACTCAGAAGTCTGATTAATAGGCTCTACTAGCTATGGGTTCCTGAGGTCTCGTAAGTGTTTGCAGAATAGGGCGGAAGACTCACTGTGCCCAGCCCGCCGGCTTCTAAGAATTCCCTCGTGGCTTTAGGGTCATCCCAGAGCCACTGTGCAAGCAGACAGATGTACCCAACAATCAATCTATTCCACTCGCGTTCCTCACGGTCGTTCTCAGCCCTTGAGCGAGACAGGAAGCACAACGAGAGGTTCTCGGAAAAGAGGTGCAACAAACTCTGTGGGGCATCTTCCTCATCCTCATCCTCATCCGGCTGCGTTGGCGCTGGAGTATTGTTATCTGCAGGGACGAAAAGTGTTCCTGGACCCGAAGTCTCTCCCGAAATGCTGGAAGAAGGCTTGATAGACCGGGCCACAGTTTTTGCTCTCGGGGAGCCGGCGAGCAGGTGAGAAAAGAGGAGTGTAGCGAGATGAGTAGAGGTCACATTAGCGATGTTGAGAGGGGATGATGGGGAGAGGCAAAGAGAGTGCAGAAGGGGCGATATCATTGGAACCTCATTTGGTTCTGAAGGTACAATCTGAATCGTTTTTATATGGTATGGAAGATGTTGCTTACGTTGGGGAGGAAGCATCCCTTGCACAATGGCCTGTCTGATATCATCTTTCCGCACAAAGTTCTATGGTGAATCAATGCCGACCCTTGCTGCCGGAGGACGACAATGACGTACATCGAAGACAGCTACAGCTGCACTCCTTAGCTCAAGTCCCTCCTTGGTGCGACTATCACTGTATAGCCCATTGTACTCTCCATGGAGTGCAAGCTCTACAAGTGCATCAAGCGCGGACGCCGGCTCCAATCTGTCCCATTCTTCTCCGCGTGTCTCAGGCACAGGCATATAGGGGGTCAAAATCACCTCCGAGAGCGGGAAAGTCAACGTGCTAGGAAGGAGATGGAGCGCCTAACGCACACATACAATCAGGTTTTATATTGTGAGACGCTTGCCGTATAAAACGGACCTGAGTCTTGAGGGGTGTCGGTGCATTGGATGCGAGGGCTAGTTCGACAAAGCCTCGCACGAAGACAGACAGTTCTTGGCTCTGAGGAAACTATGAAACAAACGTAGGAAGAATATTGGAATCTACTGACGCTGCCTTTAGACCCGACTAACATTCCCATAATACCAAGCACCAGTGACACATTTGCCACTTTCTGCGAGTCCCAAAATTGCAGTGCAAACTCTTGTGGAACTGGATCTTGGAGGGAAAGGTTGGACGGTAAGAGTAAGAGGGAGCATAATAACGATGGAAGAGACGTTTCGCGGAAGTAGCTCTGTCGTAAACATCAATAAAAGTGCGCTTCAAGCAAAGAACACTAATCACCTGATTCGAGCTATTATACCGAAGCAAACTATCGACACATTGAAGTGCGTCCTGTGAGATCACACCTCCCTCCAATCCACCTTCGTTTGTGACAGTATTGAAGAGCTTTTCAAATGCGCCTTGGAAGGCAAGCACCTTCTGTATGTCAGGGCTTTGAGAGATAAGCATTTGGATCACGATGATGCTTTCTGAAAGTATGCTGGCGTTAGTAAGGGAAATCAACGAGTCTTATGCCGGCTTTGGTAGACCTGCGTCGGACACTGTCGTTTGAAAGCCCTGTTACATGTGGAACTTAAGGATGAGTACGGCCACGCGAGGACTAAATTATGTTCAACATCCAGCTTTGTCGAGACAGGTAGTATGAGCAGGTCTACCAGTGTACCACGCGTGAGACGAGATGGAGTAGCTAAAATACATACCATTACGAATGATCTCGCGCTTATCCTCCAAGACGGCAATGACACTGGAGGTGCCAGCAGGGGCCTTGAGGAAATATCCTTGAACTTGAGAACGGCGGTTCTGTAGTAGCACCGAGAGCAACTGTAGTGTCGCATAGCGAGTATAGAAGTGTGCGTCACCAAGGAGGGAGAACAAAACATGGACTGCCCGTTCGTTTCTGATAACGTAGTCTGTGTGTTTCAACGCAAGATCCTTGGAATCGTCATCGGGTTCACAGAGCTGGGTAATAGTCTCGAGCACGGCCTTTGCTATTTCTGCATCTATTTCCGCATCATTCTGTAGGACTTCGAGGAGACCAGGAAGGGCCCTTTCACCGACATCTTCCTTGCAATCGCGAGCCAAACCCTTCAAAGCAAGGACAGCAGCGCGTCTGTCCGCAAGGAGGGTAGAAGGAGATAACCGGTCACTAAGTTTTGCGATCGTGTCCTGTGCAGACTGAGGAGCACCTGTTGGACCGCGAAGGGCGATATAGGTCTGCGATAAAAAGTCCATGCGAGTCCAGCTTGACGCAGTGTCGGTAATCTGCTGTCGTGTGTTCAACGTTCAGCATTGCCACCATGACTGACACGTGGCCTTTATCGGTTCACCAGCCCCTGACTTCAAGCCGCGTTTACACTCATCGTCTTACACAAATCATCATAACGGAACCTTCGATATATGGTCTGACTACGGGAAGCTACTCTGAAGTCCCAAAAAATACAACCGTCACACCCCAGTGATAACTAGGCCATGAATGATTCATCAATCATATCATTGTGTATCCCGACAACAAGCATCAGTAGATGACCGTCAGCCATCATCTAATCTCTCCCAGAGAGACCAGAGTCTCGTGGCATAGTTTTGTGAGGACGTCCGGGAAATAACTCTAGGTCTAGTCTACGTAGAGTCTACTCTGGGGTGTGCCAGCCGCCCGGCCGGATTAAAGCGGAGTTTAATCCCCAATTGGGACCGTTCAAAGTATGACTAAGCTCGGTCCCAACATTCACCACGACGACCACGCACCCGTCGTCGTTGCCTGTACATATAAATTAGTGCATATAAAAAAATGCTGATGGCGCAGGTGACATGGCATGCTCAGTCACTGCGTCGTCCCGATTTGGAATTAAACTCCGCTTTAATCTGGCCGGGCGGCTGGCACACCCCCAAAGAGTAGACTCTACGTAGACTAGACCAAGATTTTCCATAAGCCATACATTCACAGTTTTGTAGGGACGCGAGTGAGTACTATATCATTTCATATCGTTCTGTCATGATCAGAAGATGGCCATCGAATCATCATGGCTGCAATCAGAACGCGGGAGTTATCAAATACGTCGATACGGCCGGGATAAACATCATTACCGACAGGGCCGTCCAACTACATGTAAGCAGTTCTGGAGCTGACCTATTATCTACAGAACGAATAATCTTTGGTGTAAAAGTCTCATGACATACCCAAAACTTCATATAGATCTGATTTTTCTCCTTGTAGCCCAAGGCGTATCACCTGTACTGAACTCACGAAATCGTCAACTGATAAAAAGATCAGTCTAAGAATCAGGCAGCTTCTATATCCGTTCCTTCCGACGCACGCGCAGCCGCATAGGAGTGCGCGTCATGCTTCGAGTGTCATCCAACCCATAAGAGACACTGATAAAGCCGCCTCACATGCTTTTTTGAAATCGTATCTCTTGTAACCATGAATCCTGTCTTGATTGCTGCTGGTTTTGTGGCTCTAGCGATTGTCTATGGAGTGTACCGTCGGTACACTCATATCTCTTTGGCAGACGTTCCTGGCCCAGAGTCTGCATCCTTCATCACAGGCATGTATATTCTCTCTCTGGATCTCCCCGCTGCTGATATAACCACCAGGAAATCTGAAAGAACTCTATCAAGGTCAGGCAGCGGAAGCTGATTTCAAGTGGCAAGCTCAGTATGGGAATGTCGTTCGCTTCAAGGGCTCTTTTGGTGTATGTAATAGATTTCACACTTGCGGCATAGTACATTTCCTGATCCTCCGCCGACTCATAGACTGACCAGTTGATGATTTCCGACCCGGCCGCCCTGCAATACATATTTGCAAATAAAGGCTATCGCTTTCCCAAACCGCCTGAGCGCCGCATCCTCACCAAGATGGTCAACGGAAAAGGAATTACTTGGGCTGAGGGTAGGTCTTCAGCCACAGATCAAAACATGGAATGATTTGTAGTTGACTTTTGAAGGCGACGATCACAAACGACACAGAGGAGTAATGCTTCCTGGATTCGGTGCGGCGGAGTCCAGAGCCTTCTTATCAATATTCCAGAATTGCGCTGAGTCTGTAGGCATCGAAGTCATTTAAATACTCTCAACACCCGTCAATAACGTAAATTCTCACAGATGAGCAACGAATGGACGGAGATAATCAGCAACTCTAAGGAGGGGTCAGTAGTGTTCAATGTCTCTGTATGGCTGTCCCGCGCAACCTTGGATGCTATTGGCGAAGGTACATACTATTCAGGGTACACAAGCACCTGTTTTCTCATCTCATTTTCAGCTGCTTTTGATGTCCGCTTCAGCACCACTGACAACAATGAAAGCGCTCAGGCTCTTGCGCGCTCATATAATAATATAATGTCAGTCTTGATTTTGTCAAGCCTATCTGGGTTTTCCTTAACTGACCTGAATCGAACGTATCTTCATTGCAATAGGAATGACGTATTTGGATCTCCGTCAGATGGGCAGGTATTCTCCCTGGGGATTTCAAAGTATATCCCATATCGGATTCTCGAATACCTCACAGATATGGTTAAAAACCCACGTATCGTGCGCATGCGCGAGGCAGGTAAAACGGCAAAATCTGTTGCAAGGCAGCTGGTGAAAGAAAAGGCGGAGATGCTATTGCGCGGCGACGGCAGCCGAGATATCTTTAGCTTACTTGGTGCGTCGTCGTTCTCGACAGTCTCAACCACATAAGCATAAGTATAGGCCATCTAATTATAGCACAGTTAAAGCCAATATGGATACAGATGCGAAGGCGAAGTTAACGGAAGAGGAACTGCATGCTCAGATTCGGTAAGTTCGTTCTGTTTATTGTATTTGTACAGCTTTCCGATCACGGATTGTTATAATTACACAGTACCATCCTCTTTGCAGGTCATGAGACGACAGCGAACACCGTCAGTTGGGGGCTTCTCGAGCTAGCCAAGCAGCCCAAAATTCAATCCCGTCTTCGGGAAGAGATATGGGAAACAGAAGCCGCTGTGCACGCACGCGGAGATGTCGGTTTCACAATCGCTGATTTTGACGCTATGCCATATACTACTGCTGTGATGAAAGTGCGTGACGTCATGTCAGCATTATTTGGGTGCCACAACGCTACGCTTGCCATTATAGGAAGTTCTGAGATTTTGTTGTGTCGTATATCATGTTCAACGATACGCTAGCAAAGATGACGTCCTTCCGTTATCACAGCCAATCACCGCGCGATCCGGGAACATCATCCGTGAGCTACCGGTTCCGAAGGGTACGCGAATTATTGCATCGCTTGCAGCGTACAACCGGTAAGAGGTTCCACTTAGCGCCAACATTCTATCTTCTGACGGTGCGCTCATATCGGTCAGAGACAAGGAGCTTTGGGGCGAGGATGCGCACGAATTCAACCCGGAGAGATGGCTCAATGGAACAGCGAAAGAAAAGGTGACGTCAATAGGGGTGTACTCCAATTTGTGAGCGTTAGTCTCTATCTTGCAACACGAATGAACCCCAATTTGTTTCTAGAATGACATTCCTCGGAGGAGTGAGGTCGTGTATTGGATGGCGCTTCGCGTAAGTGTTAACGGGTCCTCCGATAACGGTGGAGTGGGTCTGATGTAAACGTTTACCCAGGGTGATTGAAATCCAAGCTTTTCTTACGGAGATAGTTGGAAGGTTTGAGTTTGCCACAAGTGATAAAACCGAACTTGTTCGACGGGAGGCTTGCTTGGTGATGGTTCCAGTAGTAGAAGGTGAAGTTGAGAATGGGGTTCAACTGCCGTTGAGGGTTTCACTGGCACCACGCACTGGTAAGGAATGTTAAGCGTCATACGCGCCGGGATGGGGTAGCTGTCTTGCAAATAGTTAACTTGTCTGGTTATCTCGGTGGCCCACAGCCACACAGTATTAAGTCATGCGTCACTGCCCAGTACTCTTGGCTTCTTGGGTCCTCGAGTTGCGAGTGTGTGGGACTGGTTGACGTTATTAGATATCAAATGGGTCGGTGGAGCTTGCTGGGCGTTAAGCTGCGGACGTACATACGCTAAACCTTAAGGGGGTAAATCTAATGATAAGTATACGATCTTGCGTACGCGACTGGACCATGGTCTTAATATGAACTTCAGGCGAGGTCAGCTAGCTTATGAAGATGTCATTGAAGCCCTCTGGCTGCGTGAAACAGCGATTTTTGAAACTCACAACATGTTGCCAAGAAGGGCAAGGCGGTCAGACAGGGCGATTGGAGCGGATGGTGCCTCGATGAGGTGGTGATGTAACCGTCTTAGGTAAGTAAATCTTCGGAATACGTACAGCAGTCGGACCATCAGAACATAGGCTCACCGTGAGGCTCCAGCCTGACGGATTGGGGCCAGTGCAGTTGGAGCGGCATTCCACGGTTGTGACGAGAACCTGCCGTGTAGCGTGACACGCGTGACGTACCTAATAGCCATGCGGCATACAAAATAACCAATTGGTATTTGAAATACGAGCTACTAGGGTGGCGATCGGCCTACAAATTCTACTTCGGATTGTTGTCGAAGGAGACTTACATGTTTGATTTGTGTTTGATCACGCCGTTCCGAGTCGGCTAAGTCTGTGAGTGAATCTAGAACATTCGGGGTGACCGTAGGGTTAACGTTTGCTCCAAGAACGTCTTTGCCGATCGATCCACAATTAAATGTTGGAGCAAAAACAACTTCCGCGCCAATTCCGCGCAAACAGTTCCACTAACACAAAAATTTAGTTCATCGCCTCCAAAATACCCGATGCTCCCGTTTGACACTATGATCGTGACTATGCACGGTATGCAGCTGCCATCCTGCAAGCAATCCTATTTATTTTGTAAATTCACCTAAATTTTAATTACAATCACGATCCTCCTTAAAAACCAGTCGGATTCGTACCCTTACTGAACAGAACCTCCCTATTCCCCTCGCTTTCAATCTTGCCTTGAGCAACTCATGGAGGGAATTTCTCTTGATGTGACTTCCATCTTTCCCTCTCTGTCCGATGTCCTTTACCAGGAACTAAGATCGACCATTAGCGGAGACACATACCGGAGAGGTGATCCTAGGTACTATGTATCCCCATTTTATTCTCCGCCGCCTCTGACAGCCATTCTAGTTTTCTAGACTATTCTCGAATGTTTAATGGCGACGTCAAAGTTAACGCCATGGCTGTTGTATGTCCCCTCGATGCTCTAGACGTTAGCCAGTAAGTTTCCAATTATCAGACCTGTCAGATATTCAATTATCTCCGTAGAGTTATTTTGTTCTGCAGAAAGCATTCGATTTCTGCTTCTGTCAAGGCAGGAGGCTATGGAACCGCTGGCTGGGCAGTCGGAGGCGACATCATCATCGACCTCTACAAGATCTCCGACATCGACATTGAACCTCCTGCTGCTGATGGCTCCTTTACCAGCATTCGAGACATGCCTGCACTTGGCAGCAAAGGCAAGGTCAAAGCTGGCCCGCCGCTTCTAGATAGATCTGATGCTGCGACTAGCAGTAAGCGGAGAAGGGAAGACGACCACGAGCCGTCTTACGACCTGGCATCTGCAACTGTCGCAGATTTTCTTCACCCAGGGGGATCATCCGCTCCATTTGCCGATCGTCCTCCCGCCACTCGACGGAAGTTGGAATTCGCAGCTCCCGCGTTGGAGATCCCACAGATGTCCACTTATTCTGCGACGTCGAGCAGTTGTCAGAACCCTAGCACGACGTTGTTATCCTCCAACTCACTTGGTTCTTCTGTTCCCGTGATTTCCAACCTCTTGGCTTCTAATATCCCATCCACGGACGGCCCTGCCACTACCGATGTTGCCCTACCTTCTCCGCTGCCAGATACTAGTTCAAAGCCGCCCCCATGTATATCCTCATTGGATGATCCCTTTTCCTATCTAGATGATACATCCAACACCCCTGCACCACCTGTCGCCTCCACTTCTCGGCTTGCCCAGTCCATGCCCAACGCATTGTTTGCTACGCCGAGTTTCCTCGAGTCTTCGACTAACATTCTGACTTATGCAATGCCCATCTACTCTCATGCCTTCATGACCTTTGGTGCAGGAAAGAGACAGAAGGAAATCGATCAATTCTCAGCCGCAAACCCTTTAGAAGCGATGTCACTCGCAGGCGGACGTGGCGTTGTTCCATATCACGTCCCATCGTAAGCTGTTTTCTTTTCGGATTTTTATTCTCATTTACCTTGTGGATCAGTGCGGCTCATCCCGTTGGTTCAGCAATCATGATCTTGGGAGGCTTTGGATTCCTGGGCCGTCTTCACGGCTTGAGCAGTGACAATTTGGTAGAAGCAGAAGTTGTTTTAGCAGATGGTCAAATCGTCTTGGTCAACCACAATGAACACCCAGGTATGTGTCGCACATATAGTAGTATTCACCTGTTCTGACTCGCGTCCAGATTTATGGTGGGCACTACGTGGTGCTGGCCCAGCCTTTGGTGTTGTCACACGCTACAAAGCCAGAGCTTATCCGGTTCCCGTCGTCTTCGCGGGTAATCTTATTTAGTGAGTACTGTCTCTTGTTTGAATCGGATCGGAATGTCATACTACTTTTCACAGTCGTTTTCACCGTGCAACTGCACCATCACTAATCAAGCACTTTCGCGACTGCGTCAAGGGTGCTCCCCGGGAGTTGTATGCTAATGTTCTACTTACTGCTGGCCCTGCAGGGCAAGATTCCCTAGTCGTTATCCAGATGTGCTACGTCGGACCCAAGGTGAAGGGCCAGGAGTTCTTACAGGCTATTTCATCGTGGGACGGGGAACGGTGTCTTCTCAATGAGGTCGATGAGAAGTCCTTTCTTCATCAACAAGACAGCGTTGCGCAGGTTCTCCGTGGAAAAGGTGAGCAGTAGAGTTTACTGAATCAACACGTGTGTTCTGATATGTTTGCTACTAACAGCAGGAAACAAGTGGTTCATACGATCTGCGCTTATTAGCTCACTTCCGGATGACATCGTGAATAAGACGGTCCTTCAATTTGCGGACACGCCTGTTGGCTGCAGTATGTCTTTTTTGTCCCGTTCTCGTTTCCGATCTCTTATTGCATCATGGGTACAGCGTGGTTGTTCGAATTGGCTGGTGGCGCACTTGTCGATTTTGAGGATAACTGTATACCGAAGGCACAACGCCAGGCTTCCTTTACTGTTGCCGCGTTGCATCAGTGGGATATTGGATTCCAAGATCCGCGCTGTGTCCATTCCGCGGAGGAGGTAAACATTTTATCATCATTTAATTGTTCCTATACTCACGCTCCATGTTCTTGAGTGGATTGCAGAAACTTTGGCACCGGTGACGCTCGGTGGCCCATTGCCAAGCGTATGCGTTTCCTCTGTACCCACATCCAATTTGTTTCATTCATATCGCCGACAGTTCTTGGGCAGACAAGAGCCTCCTGGTCGTGTCATTGCTTGCTATGGCGAGAACTGGGCTAGGCTGTGCGAGGTGAAAAAGAAGTATGACCCTGACAACTTCTTCAGGAACTCTTTTTGGCCACTCAATGCAGAGGGGGAGATCATTGAACCCGAAGAGCATGAGCCTCAGCACATCGAATTTTGAGCTAATGAAGTACTTCTCGTTCTGTTATTTAGTTAGGGATTTGGTGTAGTCGTACTACTGGTAGATTGTTGTATTTTTGGACACTACGTTTCAGGGGCTTGCGGGCATGCGGATACAGTGACTGGGGTTATAGCTACGTAGCGTTTTGGTTAGACCGATCTCTCGACACGATGTTTGGGCGTATATTATATCACAGCTATGCTTTGTTCTAGACTGGTGACCAGTCCGTTTATGAGGCACGAGTCTAGCTTTTTCTCTGGGAAGGACATTATCATTATGCAATTTACCTCTCCATATTTAAATCGATCAGTTTACGAGAATTAACATGTTCATGTTTTCACAAGTTTTGATCACGCATACCCTTCGCCAGATACCAGACTGGGAACATCACCGTGACATGCACCGCTGGATGGTGCCATCATGGAGGCATACTAGTATTGGACGGGTCTGAATCTGACTCGGAGCACAAAGGATGCCCGATTTCACGTCAAGCAATTTAATTCTACACATGTCCCACAGACATTGAGTCGCATTTTGACTGATCGGGGGTTGTAGTAATTTGGGTTGACTTTGAGTGTCCAAACTCGAGTCCCTTTTGTAGTCTCACTCTCTAGGCCAATCGCTCGGGTCCCCGATACGTCACGTGATATTTCGCCTACACGCACATTGCCGAAACTGCTTGATCAGCTCAAGGATTACAATAAGTATTCTAACATAAATAGACCTATGTGGGCTCATGCTAAGTGTACAACAGAATCTGCACGAGCGTCATTATTAGCTCCTACACCTCGGGCCCCTGGCAGAACAATTGTTCCTTGATCTAAAATGTTCTGTTTTATTCATGATAACATGCACATATAGTAAAACGAGGTAAAGTCTCTTAGAAGCTAAGGGAGGTGGGAGAATGAGGGTAGGAGGGGGAAAAAGTGGATAGGAAGTAGGAAAAAGTGGACTATATACCAGCCCTAAGCACAGGGAGTGTAGCATGACTCTGTTTGAACCATTTGATATTGCACAGCGCGCGAGAAAATTATGAGTAGCGGAGAAACAAAGTTACTTAAGTGAGTAAACCGTCACGTTGGGCGGGTTTCAACATTGTGTTGGATATCACGTGACCTGTGATTTTTTTCATAAGGCAAATGTAAGGGGTATACCGGTAAGGACTAAGTGACGCGCACAAATTCGGGGATCATAATGGGAAAGCCTATGACGCCAGCCTTGGGCCTTTAGATTGACCAAGGCGCTGTACTACTTTATCTGCTTATGCAGGAAGATATGATCGTGAAAGTTTTGTCCTTGATTCACTTGCGCGTTGTTATCATACTATTGGTAGAATTGACCACACCAGCGGACGAGGAACAACTTGATGTCGTATAATGACATATGGATTCTAGTATGAGCGGCTGTAATGCAAGTTCCAAGGCTGTGTACAGAGGCGAAAAGCAGGTTCCCAACGAAGTCCTAATCATCCTCTAGTTCGTTCAGCCGTTAAATGGTACATAATCTGCCTCTATCCATCATGGTGTCGGTCTTGTTCGTCACCATCGCAATACACCACCTCCTTGTCAAAAACCGGTCTACTTCTCTGCGTCAAGTGGTTTCGGATGCATTTCCCGGACCTGTTGTGTTTGCATCTAATGATGCTCACACCATTGTATTGGAGTCGAACAACGTCCTTGCGCGTTGTGTGCGGACCACGATAACAGGCGGTGAGTTCCATCATGCGGAAGACGCCACTTCCAGGTTCTTCCTCCGTCACAGTACCATAACCCCCGCAACACTCCGACATCCATTGAAATTCTCCACTGTAAAGACGGAGTGGGTCACAGCGGGAGTCAAACACGTGGGGTACGATGCAGGCCGAGGGGTAATTGGCTGAAAAGTCTTTATGGCACCGAATGCAGTGCTCGCGGCCCGCAGGCATGGTTGAAGCCTAACATTTGAGTTGAAGCTTAGTACGGAGATAATTCAAGTTGTTATAGTAACTCACCAGCGACCTCGTAGGCTGTGTGCGAGAATAATAAGCGTCCATGGGTGTCTGTGAGGCTTACGGCACATTGACGAGACAGACTATATAGCATTTTCGTTGGAGAACATAGAGCAGTGACTACGCCTCCTTCGAGCTGCGCTTACCATGGCCACGTGCAGCAAAGGCACAGAAGACAGTTCGGAGTAGGCATCGAAGCTTTGAAGTGTGCCTGACACAAACACTGCCATGCAAATGAAGAAGTGATGAAGCCGCATTCCCTTCAGGTGTCCAGTACGCCGGTCATGAAAATCAACCAATAGCAGGATGAAACAAAGATCCTATGAGGCGTTCCGAGCTTCACAGGTACGGTGAGAAGAAGTCGACGATGGCAGCTCACTACTCACAAATGCAACACAGTTCGCTCCCGAAAGCACTTGTAACCTCCAAGCAATGCCTTGACGGTCGTATTATACCGGCTACTGATACTATGTTAGAAATGGGCACCATGAGCTACGCATGTAGGAGGTGTGGGAAGCGCATTACTTGTAAAGGAGGATCCTTACGAGTTGGCCAACTAGATTGACGAATACTTGTTGTCAGTATTAGCTGATAACGGTTGACGTGTCGCGCACGGAGACGTGGGTGGAGGTCCGTCGTATCAAATTCTCAGACACTCTTCTGAAGATCCCCGGGAAGACCGGAAGGTAAGATGACACGCATTGCGAGGCCACACTGTATCAATGATAGAATCAGCAATATTAATGGAGCTCAGGCTGTTGAATGGAGCAGTAGACCTACCCGTTACGCCAATTAGACATCGTACAATTCAACCCCAATTATAAAATATGACTTACATAGGGTATACCAGCTCACTATTTAGCAAAGAAAGTTTCCTTGGGGGATCTGCGGATAGTACTATCAATGGTAAGCATTATGCTTGCAAACTCTAAGAGCGTGTTGTTTGTTTGTGTTAGGATCTAAAGCTTGGAAAGTGCTCAAGCGCTCACTACTGCGTTTCATGACTCATGTGCTGCTGACTGGACGACTCCTGTTAAATTTTCCAACAGATCATATCTGCCATCTCATTCCCGCCTAAAATATTCCGCGGGCACAGACTTTCAAAGAAGTCGGTTACGCAATTGTGCTCAGCCAGCCCGGGTCTGAGAGGCCTTGCCCGAAGCCGAAAGGTGAACGACTTCAAGTAATACGATGGGGCTCCTTTTCGAATGTGAACTTTCTATAGAGGAATGTCTAAAAATCTGAGGAGTCAGAGTATCAAAATGTTACTCCAGGGTATAATAAGGTTTTCAATGGACTAAGGCGGCGGCCAACTTGAAAGTAAGTCATTTTCCTCCAAATCGTTGCCTCCGCAGCTCCGTGAAGTTTTATATCAGTGCTTATCACTTTCTGCATACACAAGACTCATTATACACAATCCATTGGATGTATACTTTCCGTCGTCCCCATTTCCTCTTGAAGCTTACTGTCACATCCAGGCATGCCCTTGATAGTGGAAAGGACCCTAAAAACCAGTGACATTGGCCATCGGCTCAAGAAGCACCATGTAATCCGCTAAATGCGGGCAAAAGGTTTACATGGCGCTTTTGTTTTTATTCTCCCATCTTCGGGATGACAGCTTCGAGAGCATGTGCTTCCGTACTCCGCCGAAATGCCATCTCAACCTACTTGGAATGGATGCTACTTCCAGGGAAATCCGTACCATGGCCACATAAATTTTTGACACATTCGCAAAAAGATGGGGATTCATCAAGGTGCCTGCCGCCGCCGGAGCGTTACTCTTCAAGTGAGTTCCATCAGAAGATATCGTTAAACATGGGAAAAAGAATGGTGAAGCACTCGAAGGATTTGCGCACGCACATTGATGATCCAAGATAGGGACCACCGCTCGCGATACCCTTTTTCAGGACGCCCTGCGCAATTTTGCGATGACTTTACTGCCAACCAAAAAGATCAGTTGATGATGCCAGACTGTCAAAGCCGACTAAGTTGAAACCAAGATGTCGAATATACGAAGAAGGAATAAGGCGTTGTCTTAGTACGTTTTCAGAGTCTAGCAAGCACATCATTAATACTTACTCGCGAGAGGTTCCTGATATGGGTGAAGATCGACAAAGGGAAGAAGGGATTAGTTGCCGAGTGAAGCGCCGCCGCCCACCAAGGAGAGGAAGGCAATCGTACCTACTACCTATTGCCATTCTTGGGCATAGTGACACCGAAACTTCTGTCACAGTGCCTTTCAGCCTTGCGGTTCCTGCTTCACGAGTACAACTCCCATTTCCGTGCGCTTACTTCTCTATTTAATTATGGACACACATAGCAAACTAAGAGTGATGACATTCCCGCGCGAAGAAACGTGTCCTTGCAAAAGCAGGATAATTGCCAGCCTCGTGAAGGACCACGGCGTTATTGTATATGGCCGACAAGTATGGATTACACTCGATTTCATGATTGTCGTGGCGCTGAACCTACATCAGGAACAACTACTTGGGCAACTTTGTGAATCATTACGGGAAGACGTGATGTTGCCAAAATGGACCTGGCCCCAACTCACCGTGCCTTCCTCGTGTTAAGTCTGGCTGAGTTAGGCACTCGATTGACCACAATCCATTCCATGTCAGGCTTTCGGTGACAACCGCCCACTCTTCGATCTGATACTGGCCAATTCGCATGAAGACGTCATAGAGCCATTCTTCTGAGGGGCCTACCGAAACATGAGCATAAAAAATGGACCAGCAGGATACCATTCACAGCAGAACGGGCCGCCGCTGGGTTGGTCAGCATCCTTATTCTTCGGCAAGTCTAGAAGAGGTTGAGGAGTCGTACACATGACCCGACGCTACGTGCCTCTCACAAAGAAGCTTGCATGAAGAAGAAAAAGACGACGAACGGCTCACGCCACGCCTCCCGGATTTTGATCTCGTCGATGCCGTCGGAAAGCGCAGAAAACAGGCATCGGACGCACCGGAAAGCGGAAAAACGCTTTGGAATGCTCTCATTGTCGACAGACGTATACCGCCCACGCGGTCCCGGTCCTCTTCTCCTCGCTTCTGCTGCACCATGGTCCATCAATGTCAATTCTTGCCTTCGGAGATCAATGACCGAAAGGCTATTGCGTTTCATTGACAAAGAAACTCAACTGTGTCACGATTGCAAACTAGACGTCATCCGGGCGAATGATCAACGCAATGTTTGTCATAACGTTTTTAAAGTGTGCATAAGTCTGTTCCTCTGAAGTTTTTATGGTCTGGGTCTGTGGGAATGACCGCACCTTGTGGGGGCTGTCGGGAATGTAATCACATTTCGTCTGGAATGAATTAAATAAAGTGTTCAGCACTGTGTCCGATGAAGTATAAGATGATGTTGAGGATGTCAATGTTTCAATTATATCAATACATATGCTGGTCTCCGTTTACGAATGTGCGCCAGAGGGAAAGAAATGCAGGTAGCTGACACCGATATCTATGCTCAGTGTTTCGGCGGGTTTCAAGGGGACACCTTTGGACACCTATTATGTGAGTCTTCTAAGTTTCATTATATGGCTGAAGCTACACAAGCCTGAGGTCAAGCCAGACCACACGGGCGCGGGGCGGCAGGGGCGGTAGTTGCAGAGATCAGGAAGCTTGGCAAAATTGTTGGCGTGAATTACTGTAAATAAAGCATACGGAAAATACTATAGTGTCAAAAATTTAGAATGGCAGCAAAACCTGTCTGCCAGGAAAAAGAATCCGACCTGCCTGGCTCGAACAGGCGACCTCAAGATGACATTTTTCCAATTACAGTCTCGCGCTCTTCCAACTGAGCTAAGGTCGGATGACCTTTAATACAAGCTTTATTATGTTTACTAATCAACAGCAGCATATTAGACCATGACCCAAGTTACGTTATCCCCGAAAATCCGCTCTCTGTCACGGTCTATCGCCTCATAGAAGGGCAGGTCTGCCTGGTCACCAGTCTAGTCTGAGGTCTGAATATTAGTCCATATGATGGCCTTCATTCCAAGGCGTCACCTTCTGACGAAGGTGTTTATTGCTCTGATTCTCATCATTGGTGCAAAACTGGTTCTTAGCCCCCGCTCTTCATCCTCACTGGAGCCATCAGTCCTCCAATCCTACAACGTCTTTGAGCGCGTCACGGGTGTAGACAAGATTCTAAATGTACGAAAGTACAAATTTCTGCAATGGAGGATAGGGAGAGATGTCAGGAAGGATATCCTTGACGATGTCATAGCCAACGGGGTCACTGATTATTGGAATCGGTTTCAAGCACCACTGTAAGTTGTTTTTCAAGTCTTCATGATATCTGACACGACAGACGACTAGAATAATGGGGAAGGACACTGCTCACGCAGATCTCCAGAATGTTCTAACTGCTGTCGAGAGCTTGTTATCTCTCAATGGTTGGGTGGCCGCCTATTGTCCGACACTAGCCCGCCCATTTGGACAAAACAAGAATGTCGACGAAGATGCCTATGATGACCTCGCTAGTGATGACCGGCTTTATTTTGTAGCAATGGCAATTCATTCAGCTGATCATTTCCTGGTCGATCAACTAGCTGTCATCGTCCAACTTGCTAAGCGACTGGGTACTTCCAATGTCTTTGTGTCTATGTTGGACTATGACTCTACAGATTCTACGTCCACCCTTACCGACCTCTGTGAAGCCGTTCTGACCCTTTTGGGTGTCTCCTTCCGAATACGACGCGTCCCTGGGATGACAGAAGACGCAACTGCAGCCTATTACCCCCTAGAAGAAGCCTACATGCGCAACCTTGCATTAGAGCCTCTTCTCGAGCTCTACCAGAAGCGCGAAATTGAATTTCATCGCGTCATTTGGCTAAAGGGATTCACATGTCCAAATGACATTCTCGAGACACTGCGTGTCAGCGTTGCGAATGAGGCTGCCATGGTGTGTGGGATGGACTGGGCAGAATCCAATGGGCAGTTCATATTTTCCGACAGGTCGGTTTTCCATCTTCATTCGTTAATAGTTTGAGCGACATAATCTAACACTTTTTTGAGGTGGCGGACGCGAGACATTCACGGCGACCAGTTCAGGCAATCCACATCCTCAGCAAAACCAGATGCAGTCCCTCCTCGAGATGAGAGCGGCGCAGCTCGGTACATCCAACATCTTCCTTTTCAAGTCTTCTGCTGTGAAGCAGGTACCCACATCATCGATCCAACTCAGTCCTACTACAAAGGGATCAAATACCGCTGCGGTACCGATTTCCACAACGCGTCCTCCTCGTCGGACAGCGTACCTACACGCGCAGCTGATGCGTCATGTCTGGACAGCAGCCAAGCCTGGTTCTGCAGAGATCTGTGGATCAGTAATGCCCTGAATGACTTCCACGGGGACGAGGTCGTACCCACGCCTGAAGGCCAGCCGCTCTCACGCAGGCAAGTCCCCGACGAGGAGCCAGACGCAGACGTCAACGCTGGCTCTGATTTTGACGCCATGCCGGACTCAGATGTACCCATCGATGTGTTCCCTGCAGCGCCCCTGTCTGTGCCTAATTCTGCATACACTCCCGCGCGCATCCTGGTGAATCCCCGCTGTGTAACGACGTATGCTGGTGTGAGTCATACTCAGCTTGCGCTCGATCTTTTCGGTTCTGGTGATGATGACGAAGCTCAAATCAATTCCACAAAATATATATTAGAGGACTGGGAAGGTGCTCCTGAGAGTTTCGTGTGTCAGGAACAAAGGTACATACTCCGTTCCTCTATTTGTCACTCTCTTAACACTGCTGCAGGCAAACCGGAGGCAGAAAGGCAGCCAAAACCCAGCGCTTGCTTGGGTTTGCTATTCATGACGAATTGCGATAGAACTAATTAAAATCAACTGCTCGATTTGTATACATTATGCTTTGATATCTTGTGTGGGCAGTCTAGATGTTATTGTGGAACTACCAATTATTTCGTTCTTCTCTTCTTGCTGAAGCCCTTGAAAGTGACACCATCATCAGAATCATCATCGGCAACGACACGCCTGCGTTTACTGGCCCGAGCACGGGCAGCAGGCGTAGAAGGGGCTGGCAATGGTTCCTCGGAGGACCCAAAGCCTCCATCGTCTTTGCCGCCGTCATCATCAGAGTCCAAAAACAATTTCTTTGTGCCCTTTATACGGGCTGCCTTGCGAACGGGTTTTTTGATGGTTTCAACGGTTTGTGACTGAGTGTCCTCGTCAGAATCGATCGCCAGCGCACGGCGCTTGCCTTTGCTCTGCTGAGTCTCATTTTCGGCCACCTGCGAGTCCTTAACGTAATCTTTGGTCTTTTTCCAGTAACCTACCAAACGATGAGCTCGCTCCTGCGAAGGCAACTGAAGCACCCACCTGCGCCCATGCCGTAGTCATTCTCCTCTGCAAGCACGAGGTTGATCGGTGGACGACGAGGTCCATTTATTTTCTACCCTGCGTCAACAAGGTCCTTCAGGGCACCAGTACATCTGACGCTCACCTTCTTAAATTTCTTGAAATTCGGTACGTTCATGTTAACAGAGTCACGAGTGTCATTCGTAACAGCCTCGCGGTAACGGTCCGAGTGCTTGTACACCTCCATATCCACAATGACCATAAAGTTCCCTCGGATGTTTGGGAGGTCAAAGTCCCCCATATCCGTCCATGGCTGTTCTTCGCGCTGCAGATCCGGTTTCGTTATCCGCAACCTATTAAACTCGCGGTCAAAATCATCTTCGGTCTTCTTCCCGCGTTTCTTCGAAGCAACGGCAGTGAGGAAAGCTTCGTCCTTGTCGACCACGTGCTTGCCGCTATCAGTGGCTTTCTTCGACTTTGCTGTTGGCTGGGGTTGTTCTGATGGCTGGCGCGACGGAGGTACCTTTGACTTCATCCTAGCTTGGGTAGCTGGCATTTGGGACGAAAGTCCTCCATCCTCCACCGGAGGCAGCACCTCAAATGCAACAGACTTGGCTCGCTGTGAGGGCCCGCTCATGCTTTCTTCTTCCTCTGCTACAACCGGTAATCGCTTTGGCGGTGCGAAGGCAGGCGACCGCACTGTTTGTGTAAGACTCTCATTTTGAGTGCCTACTACATTGTCGTAGGCTGCGTCAAAAGCCTGCGAACCCTCAAAAACCATCTTGTTTGGGTCGCTCGCCTCAAATAAGGCCTTGAACTTCTTGTGCGGGGGTTCTTCCTCAACTACATCATCAACGTCGATGGTAACAACTGGTATATTGATCTCTGGAGGCGGAACTCCTGGCATTCCAGGCAATCCTAAGCGGCGCTTCAACCGTGGACGACCGCCTGACGGTGGTTTCTGAATGATCAATTCAGAAGATTGTATCGATGAAGAGCAAGCCAAACATACAGGTGCTTGTGTGGATTCAGGTTTAGCCTTGTCAATATCTGACTCTGGATTGTTGAAATTCATCAAAGATCCTTCGCTTGACTCAATCGGCACAGGCACTCGTCGCACCAGCTGTGGTTTCTCAGTGGAACCCCACCTACATGCAGGCTTGGTACGTACCTTTCGCTTCGGCTTGGTCGGCGGAGAATCAGGAACAACGGGAGGCTCAGGTGAGCGCATAGTAGAATCCTGTCCTCCATTTCCGGGGGAGACAGCACGTTGGCTTCTATCCCCGGGAACTTCTTTCTCTGCGCCATCTGGGAAAGACGGCTCGTCGGGGTGCGTATTGGGAACAAAGGAAGGCAAAGGAGAAGAGTGGCTTGATGATTCTGCAGAAATGGAGACGACCTTAGTATAATAGAACATCGAACAGAATTATGATGAAAGAACCTTGTGAATCGCTTGCGGAGGATGCAATGCGAGACGCGTCGACGTGAACAACAGCCTCAAGAACTGTCTCTAGTTGAACGACATACGCGCTTAGACTATTAAGCATATTTATCAGCCAAGCATTTTCAGGTGTTTCGTGTCACCGACCTTGCAGCATCTGCGACCATTTCTTTCCACTTTTCATCTTCAACAGCCCTCTGTATTACGCTATTCTTCGCCAGCACGACCAGCCCCTTCCCTGCACCTCTCAGCTCTTCGACTTTCCTCTTTCCCTTAGCGATCACCTGCCTCCACTTCGCGAGCCCCGCCTTCAGATTAAATCCTTCATATTCTGCGCCACCCCTTACGACCAGGTCCCTGAGCTCTGCATCAACTTCCCCGTCCTCTGCGGGAAGAACGAAGCGGAAGCCTCTTAGTAAGTTCAACCTCTCTTCACTTGGTTCCCAATGCTTGAAGCTCTTGAGCGCAGGAGGGAGGGCAGGTCCGAATGCTGGACGGTACTTGCTCTCAATTGGCGGGACAAAAGACTTTTCGAGGATAGTTAAACCGAGAGCATCGTTTTCTGCGGGAGTATTTCCAAGTCGTACGAGTTCCTGCAACCAGTCGGGCTTGACAAGTTGAGCGGCGCAGAGCAAAGAGGTCATAACCGGGGTTGTCACTTCATACTTTGGTGTGATGTGATGGGTGAGAAGCTCATGTGCCGAAGCAAGCGTGCTAATACCTGTGTGCGGTGTCAACAAGCCCAATTAGATAATGGATGACACGAACCGATTGAAGCGCAGTCTTCAGAAGAAAACGAGGGCATGCCTCTGACTGGAGGGACAAAACATGCTATTCGTCGCCATCGTACTCTGGATGCTGTGTTAGACTCTATGAGAATTGGAGGATATCGGGTCACCTACTCTACCACAATACCAGAAACGATCGTAATGTGGTCTCCATCCTCAAGAGTAATAGAGGCTGACGGATTGCAGGTCATGTCGTCTTCTCTCTGTCGTTTTACCATAAGGCTCTTAAGCTTGTTATTGGCTAGTTCAAGTCTGGGAACGTATGATATATCGACCTAGATGGCTAGTGAGCTGAGCTTCGCATCGAAATTTGGTTCGTACCATGTTATCTAGCGTATACGAGCCCACTCTGAATTCACATGCATCACGAGAAATCTTTTTGTTGTTCACGACTAGGGGTTGCTCTTTACGACCAAGCCCGTAGTTTTTGCCAGGCTTAAGCAGTTTAGTCTCTGCAATTACGAGTGAGTGTCAAATAGAAGAAAAGAATAGTGCCAGTAGAAACGGACTGGTAGTTGACATATCCCCCTGTTCGACGCCATCGAATGGACCGGTGATGAGCCACATAATAGTTTGTTAAAACTAATGAGTGTGTGGTTATTGTGATAAGAACGATGGAGTGCTAGCATGAACAAGCTACTGCAGGAACCGGTTAAAGTATATGAGAGAGAGCAGGCGCGCAAGAAGTCAAACGCGTATGTGACACGGTCATGTGACTATTGACTTGTTGTCCACAACGCTCGTTTCCAGAATGGCAACCGAAGTTCAATAAAATCATTTGTTCAAAGTAAAATTGAACTTCTGATTGTCATGACAGAGCTCACGCCAAGCTAAACATCTAATTCCCTTCTTCGGTTCCCTTTCATATGATATAAAATGTGGGGATATCTCACCGTTCATAAGTAACCCTCACTACAACCTTTTTTCCTCCAGTTGAAGCCATGTTGCCTCTGACTAGCCTAAAAACCGTCCTGTCGTTCCTGCTCGTCGTCGGGTCTCCAGTTTTCTCCATTCCCTTGAATACCCACACAACCGCTGTTAGCCTTGCCGCTAAATTCAAAGCAGCTGGTGCGACCAATATCGTCGCAGGTGATAGAGCACGAGCTCAGGCTCTGCATCACGCTGCGAAAACCGGCAAGTACCATGCGAATGCATCCATCACCAACGTTGTCGTCATAGGCTACACTATACAAGTTGGTATCGGTAATCCAATGAAGCACTGTGCGTCATTCGAGTAAAAACCTATTCTTATAACCATGATTTATGAGTTCACCACGCCAGATGGACTTCTTGTGGATAGTGCCAGCGGTAATACGTGGATTGGAGCAGACCAGGAGTATACCATCACCAGTACCAGTACTGGCACTGGAGACGCGGTCGTATGTACCTACTCCTTTGTACTATCATTTAATACTGATGTCCCACTCCAAGGCTGTCTCCTACGGTTCCGGCAATTTTTCTGGGCAAGAGTACCTAGACACTATCACGCTGAGCTCATTGAGCATCAGTAACCAATCGATCGGGGTGGCGAACGAATACCAGGGCTTTCGCGGTGTCGACGGCGTCCTCGGCATTGGTCCCATGAGCTTGACAAAAGGCACGGTGTCTAACGCGGACACAGTTCCCACCATCATGGACAACCTCTTCAGCCAAAACTCCATAAATTCTGAGATCCTTGGTGTTTACTTTGTCCCTGTATCGGAAGAGGATCCAACTGGCACACTTACTTTTGGTGGTTGGAATAACTCTTTAATGACAAGTGACATCACATATACCCCCATCACATCTGCCTCGCCCGCTTGTAATTACTGGGGAATCGACCAGTCTATCACTTACGGCGATTCAACTATCTTGTCTTCGGCGGCAGGAATTGTCGACACTGCCACTGTGCTCATTCTAATTGCGACTGGTAAACTCACATAATATGCACCCAGGCAAACACACTGAATCCGTACTAGATGCCTTTGATGCTTACAAAAATGTCACTGGTGCTACCTTGGATGAGACCACGGGGCTGCTCAAGATCACTTCAGACCAGTACAGCAACCTGAAACCCCTCATATTTACTATCGGAGGGACTGCGTTCACACTCACTCCTAATGCACAAATCTGGCCTCGCTCGATGAATAGTGTCATTGGTGACACCAGCGGCAACAGTGACGACATTTACCTTATTGTTGCGGATATTGGCAACGACACCTTCGGTTTCGTCAACGGATACACATTCCTGCAAGTGATCGTATTGTTTCGAACCATTTCACAGCTAATTGTGGTGTTTGTGCTCAGTGAACGTTTCTACAGCATATTCGATACCACGAACAAGCGGGTTGGATTCGCCACGACAGCGTATACTGAGTCGACTTCGAACTGAATGGAAGTATATATTGCATATATATTGAATGTATAAGACTGCGGACCGGATCCATTCGAATTCTTATTCCACGCATACCCTGTAACGCAATGCGAATACAATCGCCATTTCAATGTATGTATAGAGTATTGTTTGTTTGGCTTGAAATAGAAGGAAAACTATCTTCATTCTATCAAAGTCTGACTACGGAAAATTACCAATTGTCCATCTCGGCTTGTCAAGGAAGTGGACCATGGAACATGATGCATGAGGCCCAAGCAGGGTGTCTGGAACTTACGGATTGCACGCCTCTTGTTTACATTCTGAGCTTTCTTTCATCTGAGTCGCATTCTATCATCGTGTTTCAATATGTCAGGGTTATATTTTATACCGACATCAATTCCCTTGCAGGTATGCAATGGCTCTTAGCCAGACGTACATGTCCTCCAAGCTCCAGTACCTATGCATAATTGAACTGAGTGGCCAACAATTGTTCCTTGTTCCTGACACGGACGATGACACTGCGATTTCCGAGTGTCTGAAGGGACAACACGACGTAAATTTGATGTGCAAAAAGATAGACCCAGCCATTCCATGATACCAAAGTCCCTCACAGGAACAGAACATTCGAGAGTGCGAGCAATAAACAATAAGCTAACAATGGCAAAGTCCTCTATCCCTTTCGTGACATGAGTATTTCGTATACACAACGATAAGTTAAAACTGTAAACTCAATCTCAACCATAAAGCACATATTTCAAACAGGCACAACTTCTTCATCGTGTTTCTTGAGAACCTGGTCCATGAATGCATGACTTGCCGAGTCGGGTGCATGGATTTCACGAAGCACGAAAAACCACTGAAGCTTGCTCCGTACAGAGATGAACACATCCCAGACCTTGAGAGACGCTTCACGTGCTGAGGGATTGGATCTTGTTTCCTGTGCGGCACTGAATAGTTGTTAAGAACAGCTTATATCAACCAACTTACTCAGCCAAGCTTCGGGATGAAAATTTCAATGTCCGCTCCTATTAGTACCATCAGCACTGTCAGGTCATCCAGTGTGAGACATGATATTACCATCGAGTTCGTACCAAGAGATTGTCTCAATATCCCGAAGGGAAGTTCACATCTTCGTGTCCCTCACGGTAGAACCGGATGCGTGTTTGCCGGTGCAGATAGTTGCCGCCAAGTCATCTCGGTCAAAGAGCTGTAGTCAACGTTGGCGACGAACTCCCCGATCGAGATCGCGGGATCTAATAGGCGTAACAGGGAAAAGTTAGTGATACATACAGTCAGATAGCTGAGGTACGCACTGGTTGAGAATGGCCCGAGTAGCGCCTGCTGCTCGTCCGTTGACACCGAGAGCCACAGACAGATACATAGTATGGGCGACTCAAACTCTTGAACCATCACGGTGATGCGTTCCTGACCAGGAATTAGTTATACTAGTACAGCACTAACCGCACAACAATCAAGAACGTACTCGAGCCTTTCACATTGAAAATTCATGAAATACTATGCGACGTGTCTTCAGAAGGGATATAATGAACACTTCGAGAGACGATACATACATTCCTGCGGTCTACGACCACCACCGCAGCTAAACAACCACGTCGCGTCAAAGATGTATCACGGCCTGCAGATGGTACATACTGATGCTAGTTTGGCGGCCCAAAGTTGCACATCGGTAAGGTAATATTGCTGATTCATTGAAGGTGGTGTCAATGTATGTCCGAATCACGAAAGTGTCAGTCCAGCGTGAGAATCATGATACGGGGAGACTTTTTAAGTGACCGGGACCGAGCAACATTTGACAGAAATCCCAAACGCGGTCCTCTCACACCCTCTGCCGAGAGATAGATTGCTTTTGGGCGGGAGTCTTGAAGCAGAACAGTCATAGTTGATATATGATGGTTCCAAATAGAGGTGAAAGTTCTCGAGATTTGTCACAATCCAGTAACCATTCGCACGTACGCCAGTTCCGTAGTGCAAAAATCGCCTTGTTAATTGTTGAGCTTAGCGTTCAGTTCCAAATCGAGACAAAAGTTCTTGAGCTTTGTAAGGTACGAAACTGCGCTTAATTTGAAATTTGCGATTACAGAGCTCGGATGGGTTGGTGAGCATGGGATACAGCATCGAGATTTCAGTACAAATACCACTGGGTCAGCCCCCCAATATCATCATCCTCTCCTCTCATATTCTCCTTGTCAACTCCTAGCCTTCGGACTTTCAAGCTTTCATCATGTCGTCTCCCAAAGTTGCAATCATCATTTACTCCATGTACGGTCATATCGCAAAGAGTGAGTAACAAACATCCAGAACGGCGCCGAAGTTAATACGAGACCTCATCAGTGGCCGAGTCTGTCAAGAGTGGTATCGAGTCCGCTGGTGGCTCTGCCGTCATTTACCAGTATGTATCTAATCGTGGGCCTATCTGTGTAATCGCCTTACTTACTGGATTAACCAGGATCGCTGAAACATTGCCCGCCGAAGTCCTCACAAAGATGTATGCTCCCGCAAAGCCAAGTTACTCCATCATCACCCCGGCCGAACTGGTCAACTTTGACGCCTTTGTCTTCGGCGTTCCTACCCGTTATGGCAATTTCCCCGCTCAGTGGAAAGTATGTCTCTTGACCCGCTAAATCTCTCGAAAATTTCTAATTTTTTTTTTCATTCTTACAGGTTTTCTGGGACGCAACTGGTGGTCTCTGGGCTAGTGGTGCTTTGTCTGGCAAATTTGCGAGTGTCTTCGTTTCTACAGGCACCCCAGGTGGAGGACAGGAGGCTACCATCATCAACTCCCTCTCAACTCTTGCTCACCACGGGATTATCTACATCCCATTGGGCTACAAAAACACATTCGCGCAACTCACTAACATAAGCGAGGTTCGCGGTGGTATGTTTACTCCCTAGCGTTCGTAACCGAGGGTTGCTTATCTTACTTCTACTCAGGTTCTCCTTGGGGTGCTGGCACCTTCGCTGGACCCGATGGGTCACGCCAGCCTTCAGCCCTTGAACTAGAACTCGCTACCATCCAAGGCAAGGGCTTCTGGGAGGTTGTTTCCAAGTACAAATTCTAGAAGGGCCATTAATAATCACATTTACGGTACTGGCAGATACCCCATAATAGATACGTGCACGAAAAATATAGACAAAATTTGATGACAAAGATGTTTGTTTGCTTGAATTCCATCAAAGTCTGTTGCATGTCTGACCGATATATATCCCTGTGGATACATCCTGCACAGGCGTGCACGCAATGGTCTAACCATCTTCCAAACGTACTTTTGACGCAATCGCCAAGCTTTGTTTTCCAAACTCACCTCCTTGCTAGTTGGCTTTATCAACGCTTCATGGGAGAGCAAAAAAAATTGATGCAGTAAATTGCAAAGAATACACACAAAATACAAGCAAAACACCATTAATAATGTACCTTAAGCGAATCGTCCCACCTCTGAATAAAAAATAAGTATACCTTATTGTTTTCTGACCAGTTTTATTGATCTGAAGTGTGCACATTCTCAACCGCCCTTCCAGTGTGTGGCTGCTGCCATTGTAGCTGAGCGCCATTCCTGACCTTGGTGTGCGGTATTGTTATTGCTGACAGGCTGGCCATACGCAGGTTGCGAGTAAAATGCGGCATACCCATGGGGAATCTGCGTCATCGGTTGATGTGTTGGGATTTCGTATCTGGCATGGTATGACGAAACTCCTGAGCCATATGCATTTGTGGAGTAATACTGGTGATGAGACTGCGGAGCATAATATGGGGCATAGTGTGTCGTGGGGCTAGTTGCCTGCGTTGGAATCGGGGACGACGACGACGCCGTAGCCGCCGATATCGACGGATGAGCTGTTACCTGCATCGAAGGATGAGGAACTGCACTCGCAACAAAACGAATCACAAGATACAAGTGAACAACAAGAGGGGTGTGGGAAATTTTTTGACTCACGCTCAGGAGCTGGTTCCGAGGGCTTTTGCACCACAGTCTGTCCTTCAGTCTGTCCAAAGATGACACTTCCCCACTTGAATTCCCGCTTGATACCGCGGTCCCAGAGAACCTCGACAGACCCGGTCTCCTCGATAATGCGCACCAAAGATACCTCAAAGACACCGGAGCTAACACGAATTTTTATGCGCGACATGGGTGGGAGACCAATGAGCTCGCTTTTAATACGGTCTTGTTTGGTAGCCCTCTTTGCAGCGGCGACAGCCTTCAAACGTCGCTGTCAACTTGTCGTTGCTAAACCTCACGAAAAGAAATTGCTCACTGGATTATGCTGCAGACAGAGAACATGCACGTCGTACTTCTTGATTGACTTCAGTACCTGGGGCTCTACCTCAACGGGAGAAGGTAGTATTGCGTCTGATTGCATCTGAGACTGAGACAAAGCCGGATCCAAAGATGCAGTGGCTCCATCAGGAGCTGGGACAGGATGCGCAGGAGGTGGTGGGTTTGGATATACTAGGATCACCTCCTTCTCGACCTCGCGCAGTATTGAGAAAACGATGCCGCTGGTCCCTCCATTTCTCGCGCAGCCAACATGGAAAGATTTCGCGCATTTGCCTTTGGTGCACTGGATAGGTGCACCATGGGCTTTCTGTCGCGCTTTTGTACAAGCAGCACATTTCTGTGCACGGCGATCAGCTAAGCGTGTGTGAAGGCGTTTCGCTGTATTGGAACATACCAGATTCCATCGATCTCTCACGATCGCGTCCACGCCAAACACCCTTTTCTCCATGGAGATCTCCGTCTCAACCTCGTCTACCCAAGTCTCAGGTACCACTTTAGCACACTCTTCATGTGCCATCCAAGCCTCGGTTGCGAGACTCGATAAGCTTTCAGGAAGCTCCCGCCGACCGACAGGTGGATCCTGTACGGGGAACAAGCCATCCCTGCTCGTTGAGATACACAAACAGCAGGGGAAGATGTCCTCCACGGGCCGAGGGCCAAGCTTGAGGGTGACCCTTGACGCGGATGGCCCTGCAACCGGCATAGACGTCAATGACTCTTTGGCTTTGGGGCGCTTGCGTTTGGGCTGAGGCTCCGGGCCGTCAAGAGCTTTACGCTTTGATGAAGGTTGTCGTTTTGCGGGCTCAGGTGCTGGAGAGTCCAAGTGCTCGGTTTCTCTATCGTACAGCAGCTGATCTACGTCAATCCTTACACTAGAAGAAAGTTAGACCACTGATCAGACAATACGACGAGATATTGACCTATCAGGAATGCACTGGCATGCCTTGGCCTTGCGTCCAAGCTCTACCCAGCTCTCCAGCGCAAAATTGACACTTTCGGCGCAGTTGAAACCTAAGTTGAAGCCGGCATGATATCCACGAGGATAGGTAATGACAAACTCTTGTGCACGCTGAACCAAAAAATTGGGACGGCATGAAGACTGTGCCAGGAGGGTAGGCGATGCTAGGAAGGACTTGTGCCGCAGGAACTGAGGACATTGCGAGATATCCTTCGGGAAGTAGCCTAGAACAATCAGTAACTCTAAAGAAATGAAATTGATAAATTACCTTTCATGGTTGATTCCAAAGCTGCAGCCCGTCCTTGTGGCATTGCGTACCAGAATTTGGGAGCCCCAAAATGAATGTAATTGATGCTGAAGAGGTCCATGTCTTCAACATGCCATGCAAAGGTAGCACGCCACATCCCGAAGTACAGATAAGGTGTGTTCACGCCTGGCAGGCCTTTGGATGACGAAGGGAGTAACCGAGACAGGAATGACGGGAGATGACCAACGTTCCAAGCTGTAGTCTCATCCGTAAAAATCGAGCCTAGTTCAATGAAAACCTTAGATATAACTTCTTGGACAGAGCGTATACAAACCTTGAGTGTCCGCTCCATACCAAGCTGGTTTCCCAAGGCCACAGTTCCGCCAAAAGTGCCGTTCGAGCTTCTGACAAAACTCCACGGTGTAATCATCAGCAGTAGTGCATGGAGGTAGCCAGTCTTTGTGCGGCTCAAAAGTGTTGAGGAACGCTGCATCCTTGGCTGCACGCTCTGCTTCCCTTACCTCCCGACTTTGAGCTCCGCGTTTCTTAACGACAGGCTTCTTTTCAGACGCTTCATCATCATCATGGGCGGTCATCTCCACGTCCCCTGGTAGTTGATCGCTGCACGAAGGATCAGGGTGATGAACTGGGTCGTCAGAAGTTGTGGAAACTGGAGTTTGGGGAAGTACAACACTTGTCGGCGGAGACAGTGGGGCAGAAATTCCATGATGTCTCTCATTATTGTCACCTCCTTCCTCTTCCTTGACCTGGGCCGGAGAGTCCTCCGGCTCAATAGATTCAACCTTGGTGCTTGCAGCCCTCGTTTTGGTGCGCTTTGACCTCGTCTTTACGGCCGCGTTTCTGCCATGAAGGCCGATGTCTTCGACACCGGGTGCGCAAAACTCTTCCTTCTCGCAGAGTTCTGCCCACTCTCTGACGCTCATAACTTTACGTTTCTCGACATTCTCCTGGCGGAACAGACCACCGCGACCAAGCATGTGCTGCTCTATTGGGGTTCTGATCTTGACATCTCCCAATTCCTTTTTAGTTGCAGGAAGTGCGTCGACCCTATGTAGATATGTGGGCTTGTGTCATAGAGTCAAAGGATCTCACGACACTCACCACTCTTTAGGAGGTATTACCTTAACGATACCGCTTCTCAATCCCCAACGTTCTATTTTATTCATGTATTCCTCAAAATCCTGAAATTCTTGCATGGTGGGTTTGAACACTGGTATGCCTCTATGGGCTAGGGGGTCATCGTCGGGCTCGAGCCATGTTCTCCCATCTGAGTTGGGAGATGGTGGGAGGTATGCACCCTCTGAACCAAAGAAATGGTCGGGTTGAACAGGTGGAGCTGGAGTTGGGGAACGTGACCTTGAGTTGACATCGGCAGGCGTTGTTGCCTCCATCGCGTTTGGTTAATCTCCCACGACGCGTGAAATGGAATCAGATCAACACTGCGGTAAAGACCAAAAGATAGGGCTCGTCGTATACAACAACGAGTAGAATGTTAACACCGGTGAGCAGAACGTTGTGACCGTTGAGGACAATGATGAGCCTGTCGTAGTTGTAGAAGTCGTGAAGGGGCGGAATCTGCCAAAGGAAGTCGGCTAATACCGAAGATATTATGTAAGATACTTATGCTTTCAAGTTAACTTCAAATTTCAATTTGATTTCAATCAATTTACTTTCGAACGCTCTAAGGTTAGTAGTTACTTAGCTGGATAGACATGGAGGTTCTAAGCATTATAACAGGATATTAACCAAAGGATGTCCGTCGTTCCGCGTCTTATGACGCTCGCAGACCTCAGTGGTCCTCAAATCAATCGACTTGTTAACCATGCTCATCACTTGAAGCATCTGTCTCTACCTTGGTTGGCCCCACAACAGGCGACCAAGAAAAAGAACAATCTTCGTATGCCCTCTCAGTCCCTGTTCAACAAGTCTATTGCTCTTCTCTTTTCAAAACGCAGCACGCGCACTCGTATGGCGGCAGAGACCGCTGCAGTTCTTTTGGGTGGACGTGCCCTTTTCCTGGGTTCCAGCGATATCCAATTTGGTGTGAACGAATCTCCTCGTGACTCTGCACGAGTCATCGGTGGTATGTGCGAAGGTATATTCGCACGCGTCGGTGCTCACGAAGAGATCGAGGTACGAAAATCCCTTGCCTACTGCTCCTATATTTAACTTAGCTATTTCAGGAACTCGCGAGGTATTCTCCAGTACCTGTGCTCAATGCTTTATCGTCCTTTTGGCATCCAACGCAAGTTCTTGCAGATCTCTTGACACTTCATGAGCATGCTCACCTCTTCTCGCCCGATACACCAGCCCCCTCTCCTACAAAGCCTCTTCCTCCCTTGCGACCACTCACGATTGCATACGTCGGTGACTCTGCAAACGTCCTCCACGACATGCTCGTGACCTACCCCCGTCTGGGTCACAAGGTTCGCGTCGCAACCCCTCCACAACCTCAATACAACCCTCCCAAGCCCGTCTGGGACCGTGTCGTAGAGCTTGGGTGTGACAAGCACATTGTCTGGAGCAACGACCCCCGGGAAGCTGTAAAAGGTGCCGATGTCGTAGTCACCGATACTTGGTACGTCACGCCGTCCCCACCTGGGCATATGATTATCTAATACATCTTATGTCATAGGATTTCAATGGGCCAGGAAGCTGAAAAAGCTCAGCGTTTGACGGACTTTGCTGGCTATCAGATTACAGAAACTCTCTGTCGCGAAGGTGGTGCAAATCCAGACTGGAAGTTCCTCCACTGCCTCCCACGAAAGCAGGATGAGGTAGACGATGAGGTTGGTTTTCGATTGAATTTCATTTCGAGATTGGTTCGATATATGACTCGTGCTTTAGGTATTCTATAGCTCTCGGTCTCTTGTTTTCCCAGAAGCGGACAACCGGAAGTGGACCATCATGGCCGCATTTGAGTAAGTTTTTTGGGGGTATCTGGGGACGCAGTTATTAACTCAAATACGCAGTCTTCTGTTCGGCAAGTGGGATATTACGGGGGAGAAGACCTTGAAAGGTGGTGAGTAGAACGGGAGTGGCGAAAACACTGCAATTGCGCATATGTGTCATATGCAATGAATCGCCCTGACGGTTATAAGCGTGCAATGAAGTGGAATGATTGTTAAAACAGAATAAAGTAAAATAGCGAGAGACCGTATATCGTGTACGTACTGTAGTACAATTAACTAGAGGGTAATACTACCGGTTACCCGAACGGAGTAGTGGGCCACGTCACGGGATCAACTCGGCATAGCTTGGTGAAAAGTCTTGGATACCGTGTAAGTAATGATGCACCCGCTCTTCAAGTTTCAATGCTTCCCCCCCTTTCTCGCTCCCGGCTGGTCAAACGGACAGTATACAGTACCTTCGGTCTCGGTGCAGCTTACCTTGCAGATACTGAACTCAATGCGTCCGCCGTAACCCGTAATCTTCGCACACTATGGACTGTAAGCCTGATCATCATTAGCGCTTTCAAATTATGACTGACGACAAATAGTGTGCACTCATATCAGCAGACTACAAGCTCAACTTCACGCCAGAGCATGCAGACCGTATACCCGCCATCCACCAGCGCGTCGCAGATCGAATGTATAACCTTTTCACTAGCAATGGCGGACTATACATAAAAATTGGTACGTCATTCAGACCCATTCTGTTCACTCTTTCCACCTTTCATAATATCTCATTTGATCCAGGTCAAGCAATAGGCGCGAATGCTGCGCTCATGCCCGCACCATTTCAGCAAAAGTTCGCCCGCCTCTTCGATGATGCTCCACAAATACCTTATCCTACCATTGCTCGCGTATTCCAACGCGAATTTAAGAAGTCCCCTCAAGAGCTGTTTGCTTACTTTGATGAACAAGCCGTTGCCAGTGCCTCCGTAGCACAGGTCCACAAAGCACGCACATGGGATGGCGACTGGGTCGCGGTGAAAGTACAGAAGCCAGATGTAGGGCGCCAGACCAGTTATGATCTCATGGCATTTAGAGCCGTGATGTGGGCATTCGAGAAGTGGGTGTTTGACCTACCTGTTTATTTTGCTGTCGGTGCGTCTGCTTTCTACAATACTTAAATACAGAACTGACGCGTCAGTAGACTTCATTTCCTCTCACCTTCGTGCTGAACTCGATTTCATTTCTGAGGCCTCTAACGCACAACGGACTGCAACTCTCGTTGCATCCGAACCTCGTCTAGCTGGCAAAGTTCACATTCCAAAGGTTTACCCTGAGTACTCAACCAAGCGTGTGCTAACAGCGGAGTGGATCGATGGTGTGCGACTAAGCGATCGGGAGGCACTAGGTCGAGTTGTCGGTGAGAAACTGCCTGAAACAGGCGGGGGAATGTTTGCGGATACAGTACACGATGAGAAGAAAAGTGGCATTCCTGAGAGCATGCATCATGTTAAATTACGGGGCGGGATGCACGCAATAATGCATACAATGGTTCGTATTTTCGCCTTTCTGTAGACTTATGACTGATATACCTCCTATTCGTGCAGGTTGAGCTTTTCAGTGCACAAATGTTTGACTGGGGCTTTGTCCATTGCGACCCGCATCCAGGGAACATCATTATTCGTGCCCGCCCAGGCTCTTCGTCATCATCTAAATCGTCATCGAAACCTGTGCTCCGCGATCCTCAGCTAGTACTACTAGACCATGGCTTGTATGTCACTATACGCCCCACTGTCAAGCGCCAGTACGCCTCTCTCTGGCGTGCACTGCTCACCTCGAATTGGGACACAATAAGAAACGTCACCGAAAGTTGGGGTGTCGGCGAGGCGGGGCTGTTCGCGAGTGCTGTCCTGATGCGGCCTGTGAAGATTGATCGGGCTAACGGGTCGAGTTCGCCTGCAGAGAGTGCTAATGGGGATCCCGGCAAGGAGCTTAATGCGTATGAGCAGAGTGTACGGATGAAAGAGCGACTGAAACGATTCCTTGTGGATACCGATAAGATGCCCAAGGAGCTGATTTTCTTAGGACGGAATATGCGGTACAGAGATTCCATATTCATACATTTACATTCGCTAACTCCCATTTCAAAGAATCGTACAAGGTAATAACCAATCGCTCGGTTCTCCAGTCAACCGCATCAAAATCACCGCGTACTGGGCCTCCCGCTCGCTAGTCACGACGCATGAACAATCTACTCGCGTATGGTGGGCCCACCTGGATGCGCGCGAGCTCTGGCGCGACATACTCTTCCGCACTGCCATGTTCAGCCTCGACATTGTGTTCTGGGTGTCGAAGATCCGGCAGCGTGTACGTGCGTTGTTGGGCCTCACGAATGGCGGATTTGAAGACGAACTGGAGAGGAGCGTGAGGGGGTTTGCGAGGAGCACATTCGGTGTTGAGGTGGGACCTGGGGCATTTGAGGGCTAGTAGATTTGAATGTGTGGGTCCCAGGGTGTCACGGTGATAGAATTCCAGCTACTTTCATATTGATAGACCAGAATTCATTGCTTTCCTCTTACAACTTATATTTACTTGGGGAGCTGGACACACAACAGGGTCTGCATCTTTTACGATACTATTTAACCCTGAATGGCATGGGACTCGGGAGTTCGCTACGTTCGAGAGACCTCTGTCACTCATTTTTTGATACATTGTACAGTTTTGTAGTTATACAGGAACATATGGTCACTGTGTACAATCCAGCCGGGCAGGCTACTGTTTGTCCAGCTCCTCCACAGGAAAGTATTATGATATACGCCGTGACATACACCACTTGAGCCGTTGTAACAAGCGAAAACCATTTACAACACTAGTAGCATTGAACTGTTACCAGGCGAATAGAAACTTCAAGTTTGGTACATAAATGAATAAATTATGCTGTAAAGCTCATACCGACTGGTACTAGTACCCTACACGTCGGAAATTGTTGATTTCAAGTTTGCCGCTAAGGATCCGACCGACGGTATCTTATTACTCCCGCCGCGGAAAGACTCAAGGAGAGCGAGTGTTCTGCCAGTGTTTCAGACTTGTTATTTGCTTCCAACAGTAGCTCTTATTTAATAAGTCGTTCAATGGTAGGCAAGGTCCTCGTGGATTTGAGCCAACTGATAAATCCTCAGAACTTAGCGTCCAAGTTTAAATTCGGAATTCCGAGTCGGCCGCCTCATTTCAAGCAAGGCTAGTCTTCATTTCTCGTCCGCTAAACTACGAGACGTCGGACCCGGGTAATGGTCGGAGGATTTATATATGGCGTCATCAGTTGCCAAGCGCACTCTTCCAAAGATGATGCCGTGAATATAAAGGCATAAGAGTCTCGCAGATTCAGAGTCTAAGTAATTCAGCCCACTCTCTTTCTTTAATGACTCATGTTTCTCCTTCGTGTCCCATGGCGCCCAATTCCATTCAGGTTATGTGGGGGCCGGGGCTCATTGGTGAGCATTCCGGTGACTCGCCTTACCTCGCAGCTGACATAGGCCAAGGGTTCATCATAGCTACAGTGTATGGATTCGTGTCACTCAGTCTCTATCCAATATTGACATGCAGAATTGTAAAGGTTCTATGGGATATCCTTTGGGCAATATATGTTCTATCTGCGATCTTTTCCACAAGATTCGAAAAGACTCAAGTTATTCGTGAGCACACCTCTTATATTAATAAAAGTATCGACGATGTCATCTTTCATCACTAGATAATGACAGTCTTGTGGGTGCTCCACACGATCTTGAATGTCTGCTGATGCCATGTCCATATCACAGTCTTTTTGAAACGATTAACCAATTCGCATTGATGGCGATCTATTGGTCTATCCTTATCTCGTGTCGACGTAGCACGTCCCTTGAGTGCACGACCAAATTCCCCTGGTAAGTCAATAGATTTGTTCCTGGATCCCACACGCACTCATTGGGAAAATAGGCAGATGCTAGTAAGTACATTTGTATTGTTGTAGCGTACTGTACAATGATCCTTGACAACAAAGCTGGGATTATTTTTGTCAGTAAGTACTCCATCTTTGGTCGTTCATGATATCTAATAACAAATTATTAGTTTTCGGTCATTTTCTTCGTTCAGTGGTGTGTCTCCCAGTGGCTGGTCCTCAGGATGATGCTCATTTGTTTCAATAACACAGTTTCTATGCGTACAGGGTGTGGATAAGTGAGTCCTTCAGGATATGTAAAGTAAGGGTCTCAATGCGCTCTTTCAGTCACTGGCAACAATCACTGGGTCACGGGCATAATTGTGAGATAACATTTTCATCATTTCTTTCATAGAGAGTTATAACACAGACTATCAGTGCGTGCTCGCTACTACATCGTTCGGTCAGCTCTTTCGGACGGTCATGTACCCTCGCTGACTTTTGAACACTAGCTTGTGGCATGAGTTACATTAACCTTTCAATTCTACTGTTACTATTCTGACATGCCATCGTCTTCGTTCCTAGTCGTCAGTGGTTTAGGGTGAGTGCTCGATCATCAAACTTATACTGACTCTCACTTTGGTGCCAAAGAATATACACAAGAAGCCCTGAATTCCTGTTCAGCTCGAAGGTCCGGCCAGTCATAGAATAGTTTTGAATAAGTCTAACGAAATCATACCTCGAATCAGTGGTCGCCAATAGCGTCATTCATCAGCGCATTATGTGATTTTGTCATCACAGTGTCCATATGGTTGTTCATGCGACCAGCACGAACCGGGAATGTTCGGTGCGTAGTCTCTCTTCCTTGCTCGTTATCCGACTCATCCAAAATTTTGTGATGGAAGGAGAAAGTCAAGAAATTACATCAATGATATGATGTGGGTTTTTATCAACATGGGTTTGTTTTCGTGGTATGTGCAATCCTCCATGCCTGTTGCATATTCCACTTCATATGGTTCCTAGCGTTGTAGCAATCAGCGTGACTGTGCTGGTAAGTGATTGTCGTCCATGCAAGACGAGGGATCAAGACTGTCTCAGTATATGTTTCAAGACGGTCTTATCGGACAGTTCTATACCGCTGCGCCCGGAGCAGTGCTAGGAAAATGTCAGTATGTTTACCTTGTGCTTTGAATAGACTAAAAGCCTTGTCACAGCCTATATGAACTCGATGATGGCAGTGTGAGTGAGATTGTTTCTATACGCGAAGCTCCCTAAGGCAGTAAATTGGCGGTCAGGCTCAATGCTAGAAAGTCCATCCGCGAACGGGAACAACGTGGCTACAACTTAACGGAGCTTCCTACAATACCTACAATACGGTGATATTTTTTGTCCTGGCAGACATCGGATATGATATCCACATACACTTATGACCTCCGTAATCCTCGGCCAGCATATGGGGTATGATACCATCTCCCCCATGACTTTCCTTTCAGCTGCTCCATCAACATTATACATTATATACACAAATCCAGGACCATTCTATAATGAGGAGCTTACCTCACCTATTCTTAGTTGTGCTGGAGTGTCACAACTGCGGTATACGATCTCAAGGAGGTACTATGATAGTGGACGATAGGTCACGGTTCGGCTTGCCGATTTGCCCCAACTGTCGTGGAAGTTTGAGTGGTGTTTATTCTAGTACTTATTACTGGGATCCGGTATCTTCTCGAAGTGCCTGACTTCGCAGACGATAAGATTGGACCTAGCCCAGGTCCCTGATGGACGACTCTGACAAGTTACCAGGCGGTTTACCTGTAGAAGAGGAGCCCCACTCATGAACAGCGTGGTTGACCAGTGAAAACCCAATATGGCGTGGTACGATGGGATCCGATTATTTTCTGTTTGTAGAGTCGTTGTTGACAGGGATATCAAAATAACACCAGACGTACATGATTGTGCGCTATCATACGTCACCCAATAGTCAACATCCGAAATAGTGATGGGGATGAGTTGTCCCGACACAAATTCATTCTCAACCACTTCCATATCATCAAGGGAATGCTGGCATGTTATTATCCACAACAAACGACTGTCGATTTGTTGCTGCTCCATGGGGGAGGTCTTCAACAGACACATGCCAGTAAGATCTATCATGGCCCATAAAGCAGGTTAGTGATCTACGAGAACAAGTTATCAGCGTGGATTAAAGTGTCTGTGCAGTGAGTGGTTCAACTATGCGCAACAATGTGTCGTGCCCGCCTTTGTCGTGAGATAAGACAATGAGCGCCCACGGCATATTGCGAGCGCACGCGCAGAGCTCGAGATCTAAACTTAGCGTTTGAACATATCATTCCAATGGGAGTTGCAGCAGCTCGTCTAGAGTCGAGACAGACTCTGGTTATTCGGAGAAAACATTTTCCGAAAATAATAGCAGCCGGCCCCCATTATGTTGCCCTAAAGTCCGGTGTCGTAAGCTTAAGGCGAACGACTCGAAACGTCTCAGCTTCAACAACAACTTGTCCCTCCCGATGTTCTCCGCTCAGGTTCTCTCTGTAGCGGCATCGTGTATTATTTCACTGATTGCCGCTTTGCGTCTGAGTCGTGGACGCGTCCAATCTTTGCCTCTGCCGCCTGGCCCTCGCGGTTTACCATTTCTGGGTAACGCGTTGCAACTGGACACTAAACGACCTTGGCTCACATATATTGCCTGGGGAAAGATTTATGGTGGGTGGCTCAAGGTCTCTTCAAGCGCTTGGATTGAATTTTATCCCCTTTTATAGGCAAAATCATTCACTGTCGCATCCTTGGGATCGATATGATCATTATAAACTCTGAATCGATCGCGCGGGAGTTGTTGGACAAACGTTCTGCAATTTACTCAGACCGCCCCGTCATTCCCACCAATGAGATGTACGTCTTGCTCTCATCCAGCCTATTCTGATCAGCTGACGAGGCAGAGCTGGACTGGAATTCAATACTGTACTCCTTCCGTATGGCGAGACTTGGCGGCGGCATCGTAAGATCTTCCATCAAGTCCTTAAGGCCGAAGCTTGTGTTTCATATCACGAGATGTACTCTCGCCACGCGAACGAATTAGTTTTCAATCTCTTGAAGGCCACCGGTGACCTCCAGGAACCTACTCAAGCGTTTGTGCTGATTCAGTCACGTTGTAACCTCCCATCCAGCTGACAATGACACAATTGTCAGATACACGGCATCGCTGATTATGTCCGTGACATATGGATACACTAGTTGTGGAACCCAAGACCCATTCCTTTCCCGTGCGCAAGAACTTCTAGATATTGCTAAACATCTTCTTTCTCCAGAGAGGGCTGCCATGTTCACAGCCTTTCCTTTCCGTGAGTGCTTCAATGCTATCGACGACGTCTATTTGAACATTTGGCGCGTCGGTTACAGTTAAAAAGCTGCCATTTTGGTGCTTTCGTGGAGCCTATGCCCTCATGGGACGCAGTAAAGAATTATGCCAACGGCTTTTAAACGAGCCCTTTAAGGAGGTGAAGGTACAGATGGTACGTTTGCGCATTGTGGCTGGACGATTTGCATGATCTGTTCGCCTGTAGGCAAATGGTACCGCTTCAAAATCACTGGTTACCGACTTCCTCAATCAAGCTGACAACAATGTTGATGAAGACACAATGAAAGCTGTTGCATTGATGGGATATATGGGTAATGATTTTTCAAAATACAGGATTCATTTTTTGATGCAGATACGGTATCCTAGGTGGCATAGACACGGTGAGTCATTGGTTTAGAGAATCTTTATCACTTCTTCCTTACCTTGATGTCCGGAAGTCTACATCCGCATTGCAGATATTCCTGATGGCCATGATACTCTATCCCGATGTCCAAGCCAGGGTTCGTGCAGAAATAAATCAAGTTGTGATGCATGATAAAATGCCGTCCATTGATGATAGGCCATCGTTACCCTACCTTGATGCCGTTCTCCGTGAGGTTCTAAGATGGTGTCCTCCCATACCCCTAGGTCGGTCCAGCTGTGTGCCTTGGTGTTTACGCAATTCCGTAGCTGACTCCTTGCACAGGAATGGCGCATGCGACAACAAAGGATGACTTTTACGGCGGGTACTTTATACCCAAAGGTTCGTCATATGACTCGGGGTCGCATTGACTTATCTGTAGTTCAATTAGGCACGGTGGTGATGGTTAATCAATGGTCTGTACGATGCAGCGTATCTAAATGCTTGAGTTGAACATGACTTAGGGCGTTATCTCGGGACGAAGACATATTTCCCGATGCATCACGCTTCGATCCCACTCGCCATCTCACAGCCGACGGGCAGCTGAAGGACCTTTTTGTCGACCATTTTGCCTTTGGTCATGGCAGGTGAATATCTCACAATTAGCATCACTTTCAGCTGTTCACCGACTCGAGCAGGCGCATTTGTCCTGGTAAGATACCTAATGATTCATCGATGTTAGCGATGACATACTTATGCCCTTGGTAGGTCGTTGGTTTGTAGAGAACAGTATGTGGAATGCAATGGCTACCATTCTCGCCGTCTTGCGTATCGATCATGCCAAAGACTCGAACGGAAACAGGATTGAGGTAAAACCGGAAATCACCACCGGCATGATAATGTAAGTGGTCTCGATGTACGCGCGAGATACAGCTAACTTTACTTCATCCAAAGTCACCCGCAGCCTTTCCAGTACTCGTTCGAAGTCGTGAACTCAGCGAGAGAAGGGCAGCTTCGCGCAATGCTGAATTTGAAGTAGATGGTCATTTGCGCTACTATGCCGGTTTTCAAGGGCTCGGAAGGAACCAGCACCACACGTCCGGAGCCCGTTTCTTCTTCGCGTTGTCATTCCCCTCACTGCACCGTACAATCCACTCGCTCGTTTATCACAATACTCTCGTTTGCTCACTCATTCTCACCCTCGTTAATGATTTACATTTAGCTCTATATATTTCTTCGTACATACTCACGGATTTACTAGTAGCATCCTAATCAATTGCTGTTGAAGTTCGTGTGCAGAGCGAACTGCCAATGTGATTGTCCGTTTGAGTGCCGCGCATAAAAAGTGGACCATCGCGAAGATAGTATGTCCACTAAGTATCTGGGGTATGCGTTCTTGTGCGGCGCCCCGCAATGAGCTGAGCGTTGAACGTCTCGAGGCCTATGGTTTGCCTTGGTCATTATTTTGGTTCATTTTTGAGCGCAGCCGCAGCATTAGAGGATCATCGGACCATGAGATGATTGCACAAGTCAAAAATATAGCTTCCAATCGACACATGGATATCGGTACCGTAGAAATACTATAGGTCCGTTTCATCTCACCTGCTGCACGGAACGAGCCAGTTGTCACTCGCAAGTATGATATCGCCTTGGACAGCCTGAGGCTTTTTGCTATCGCAGCAGCGCGACAGATAACTCCAGGGACGCGTCGAATCATGGTATCATTGCAGATATGGCTTTTTATTAGCTGCACATGTGATGAACGTAGCTGGATAGGTCCTTTCAAAAATCTCACACCTGTTCCAATGGCAAGAGACCGTTTGTCATTACGCCACCTTCAAGATATTGATAGCCCGAGTGAACTGGTTCTTGATCGAGTATGATATTGCTCAGACTGAAAATTTTTAAACATCAGTGTGTCACTGAAATTGAGGACTTGCCCTGGAAATCCGAGAGACACACCATCTTGTTGTTGGATATGTTGCGAGGTCATATTTCGTAAAATGCTGGCACATCATGAATATTGCTGTGGGGTCGGTGACAGTATAATTACCCGGTACCCGGTGGGTCTTAGACTGTTCGGGTGTGAAACTTGGGCGTCTATAGACTTGTGCGCTTGTCAGTTTCAACACGAGGTCCCTTTTGACAAACCGAGCTGTCACAATGCAGTGAAGTGCATACCGTTGCACCTGGAATGGAGATAAAAGTCGAGTCGCGCTGCTGTGGCCTGGTATGAACATGATATATTCTACGATGGCAACGGGGTTCCCTGAGGTTGACGAGTTTTCCGATCATCAATGCTTCAGGATTATTGGGTTAAACGTCCCTCAATTACGATCGGAATCCGAGACGCCCACTCGGCTCTCCACGGGCGGATCTTAGAAACCCTGCACTAACTCACTGTATATCTCTCCGTTTCCTTATCTCCTTCGTTGTTTTCTCATCCATCATCCTCATCGAGCAGTGTCCCAACTCACTCACTGACACCATGACCATCGCGAGCCTCCGACGCTCGCCACAGTATCTGCCCAGGCCACTTGCCAAGCGTACTTACTCTCTACCAGCTCGCAGGACACTTGCTACGGTGTCGCCTGAACATGCAAAAGTCACAGTGGGCATACGACGAGAAGATCCATCAAGGATATGGGAGCGTCGCTGCCCCGTTACGCCTGATGAAGTTGCCCAACTCGTTCAGCACCTCGACGTCAACGTTCTCATTCAGGACTGCGACCGTCGAGTGTTTTCCGTTGACCAATTTATCAAGGTAGAATATCACCATTCGTACATCGAGCTGGGCGGTGACTGACCATGTTCTATTTCAGGCTGGCGCTAAATTACACCCGACGCTGGAACCTGCACATATCGTGCTAGGAATCAAGGAGACACCACTCAATGAGCTGGTTACATCTCCTGTTTCTGCGCCGGGTTTGCGCTCAGGTCCTTCCATACCCCGCACCCATCTAATGTTTTCTCATACCACGAAGGGTCAGCCCTACAATATGGAATTACTCTCCCGCTTCCTTGGTTCAAATGATACATCTTTGCCCCGGTTGATTGATTATGAACTTCTCGTGGGTAAGGACGACAAAAGAACAGTTGGCTTTGGGTGGTTCGCAGGAGGTAGGCAGCAGCTCAAAATTATTGGCAACGGCTCACCATCAAATAGTTGCTGGTGTTCTCGAGTCTTTGTCTGCACTTGCTCATGCGCATCTCGAACTTGGAGTCGCTTCTCCTTTCCTTGTGAGTGCTGTTATACAACCATTGCTCCGTGTAATCCTAACCCTAGCATCGTTAACCCTAACCTCAATCGCCACTGGTAGCACACGCCTCGTCCACACACACATCCATCGATTCCATCGCTTCGCTCTGCACTTCGAAGCATTGGACAGAACATCGCAGACAATGGGACACCTAAGGCATTAGGACCGTTTGTTATCGGGCTCACAGGGTACGCACTTGTTCAAGATCCTGATTATGTATTGACGACCCACGTTGATAGAAGCGGGAATGTGACACAAGGATGTCTATCCATTCTAGACGAGCTCCCGATTGTGAATGTGGACGTGAAGGATCTGCCTGCACTCGTCAGTAATCCTGGTATGGATTGTCTTTCTCTGTCTGGATGTAAGCTCAAGTCGCACCCAACTAGCTACTGACTTTCATAAGGTGTTTTTTCTTGCCACATATCATAGTAAGATCATTAATATTTTGGTAGATATACCTCGTACACGCGCTCCCTAAAGACTACCTCACTCGTTCCGATGGTGGTCAATATTCCCGTGATGATTATTACAAGAACCCAGCCATGTACCACTCGGACTTCGATACCAAGGCAAGCTTCTTGTAGTGGTTTAGTATCTTTTCTCTCATATTTGCCCCCTCGGTAGATTGCACCATACCTCACGCTCTTCCTGAATGGCGTTGGCTGGCTCCCGTCTTTCCCACGACTTATGACGAACGAACAACTAGCCACTGCTCTTACCCGTGCGGCCGAAGTAGGGCGAGCACGTTTTGGAGTAGTTGGCGACATCAGTTGCGACGTTGAGGTACGACGATTATTTACCGTCGGGGATGTGTTAATCATTCATACCGTCTACTAGGGAGGTCTCGAGTTCCTCCCTCGTGCATCGACACTCTCGGACCCCTTCTTCAAGCACCGACCATCCTCTCTACCTTCTCATCTTCCGAGCGTGACTATCATGTCTGTTGATATCCTTCCCTCAAGTCTTCCTCTCGATGCTTCTCAGCATTTTTGTGGGGTTTTAATGCCATATTTACGCGCTCTGATTGACGAATACCATGGTCGACCTGGCTCTCGCGAGCATCTTGAGGCCTTGAACGTTGCAACAATCGCTCGGAATGGCGAGCTGCAAGGCAAGCATCGTGGGCTGGCAGCACATGTTGAGAGGTGGCAAGCAAGCCGAGCCGCAGAAATAGCGAGCAAGGCGGGAGTAGCTGAGACATCGCTGAGGAAGAAGCGCGTGCTCATGCTTGGCTCTGGAATGGTTGCAGGCCCTGCTGTGCAAGAGATCTGCAAGAGGTCTGACGTGGAGATCATTGTTGGTTAGTTGCTATTTTGCATATATCATGGATGTTGGATTGATGTATTCCTTAATCCATATTGCGTGTTTTACGAATGTCGTTGATAGCCGGCAACGTGCGCTCAGAAACTGAGGATCTGACACGCAAGTTCTCAAACGCGAAAGCGGCGTATTTGGACGTGCACGATGTTGCAGAGATGGCAAGGTTAATTCAAGGTGCCGATGTTGTTATTAGGTGCGTGGTGTCCTACCTACAATTTACACGATCTGAGTGATGATCAACTTGAAATTAGCTTGCTCCCAGTTCCTTTCCACCCTGCCATCGCAGAGCTGTGTATCCAACACCGTAAGCACCTCGTGACAGCGTCATACATCTCGCCTGCCATGCGTGCCTTACATGAACGGTCAGTACACACGAATATTCGTTATCGCCTGCGCTGATGGCATCTACTTCGTGTCATTTGTCATAATCGTCTGGCCGCCTATGGAACGTTCTGATGTTGGTGCCATGCAACGATCGTTGGATCTGGAACGCATCACGGAACACAGGGCTCAATCGGCAGATGTGCTTTTGCTAAATGAGATTGGTCTCGACCCAGGGATCGATCACTGCTCTGCTTTATCACTGCTTGCGCAACTTCAGAGAGATAAGAAGCGTGTGATTTCGTTCACGTCATTTTGTGGTGGCTTGCCTGCCCCTGATTGTGCGGATGTGCCCCTCGGGTATAAGTTCAGCTGGAGCCCAAGGGGTGTGCTCAACGCTGCGCTCAATGAAGCACAATTCAAGCTCGATGGAAAGGTGTGTTGATAACGAAATGAAACACGTGCAGGGGGGCTTAATTATTGTGGCATATAGGAGATAAAAATATCTGGAGATAATCTTCTTCAGGAATACTTCCCCGATATCCCAATTTCGCACGTCCTGAAGCTTGAGGGCTTGGCAAATCGAGACAGCTTGCCGTATGCGGAAACGTATGGGCTTGGTAAGCTTGAGAATTTGCAGACTGTTCTTCGTGGAACTCTCAGGTAGGTAGCCGATGAGCGCTAGATCGTCCTTCTAAGGTTGACTGGCGCATGTCAGATACCCTGGGTTTGCCGATTTGATGCACGCCTTCAAGATTATAGGGCTGCTTGACACAGAAACCTCGATTCATCTGCGTGATTGGCGTGACCTCGCACGGGTGTCCCTGGAGAAGAGGATTGGAGAGCAGATCGGAAGCGATCGCCGCTCGTTTTTGTCAGCCCTTTCCACCGTCATGAGCGCCGAACGTGCGGAAAGTGCACTCGGCGCTCTGGACTGGCTGGGCCTTACGCCTGAGAACATCCTATCTAAAACCTCCTTAGCAACACCACTCAAACCACAAGCGCCGATCGAACTTTTCACCTCGGTCCTTGCCCACAAGCTCAAATACAATCCCGGGGAACGCGATATGGTCGTACTGTCGCACGAAATCGTCGCACAGCCATCGCTCCCGTCTATAGATTCGGCCACGGAAGTTCACACGTCAAGTTTGGTGGCGTACGGCAACTCTGAGGCGTCTGCGATGGCGCGGTGCGTCGGGCTGCCTGTCGCTTTTGCTGCGCTCGAGGTTTTGTATGGTAACGTTCAGGTGCGCGGTGTGCATGGGCCTACGGATAGGGGTCTGTATGGTGCTGTACTTGATGGATTGCAGGGAGCTGGGCTTGAGATGAAGGAGTCTGTCAGAAAAGGCCCGGGAATGGAGAGGGTGTTGGCAGAAGGACTGAACGCACGCAGGGTGGCTCTTTGAACACTCTGAGACTCTCGAAGGATGCTGATACCACTATACCAATCCGTATAATTGATACATAGTACCACCATCAACTTGAACGTCACTGCAACTTTAATCTTGCCCACTTGCATGGTCCTGACTCATGACAGCGAAGAAACTGCAACCAGAATTGGCGACATTCGTAAGAGGCAACGATTATTCATTATCTTAAAATGGGAAAAGTTATCTACGTCGACACGGGGTAAAGAACAGGTATACACGGAACACGAACTAACACGGACGTAAGTAACCAGAAGACTATCACAATATTCCTACACATCGTTCTTTGCCCTACGATCTGCAAAAGAATACAAGAAATTATTAGCGGCAAGACAACGCCGGTAACTGTAGTTATAAGTAACCGCTGTCGTCCTCTTTCTTGTCATGAGTGACGTCGTCACCCTCATCCATTATCCGTTCCTTGTCCGCAACGCTTGTCGTATCTTGCATGACTTGTTCGGCGACAATAATCCGGCCACGTTCTCCTGTCAAGGGACTGCTCTTAAACTTCCCTGCCTTGACGCTGACCGTAGGGACACGAGAGGTGGGGAAGCGCATATCACTCGGTAGAGGAACAGGGGGCGTACTCATCCCCGACTCCTTAGCAAGGGTAAGACGACGTTTTCTCTCGAGTAGGATAGCTTCCAGAGATGGTGCTGGTGACGAGGCACGTGTACCAGGGGCGCTGACAGAACCAGGAGCAAAAGCAACGATCCCAGCACTAGAAGCAGATCTCCTCTTCAAAGTGGATGCATTGTTAGTTGTCTTCGCGGGCTGGTGCATATCTTGCCGCTCGTCCATCGCTGCCAAAGCTTCTGGAGTCTGACTGACTGAAATGACCGCCTCAGGTGTAATCTGCCCTTTGACACTGTCGTTGATAGGGGATGATACCGAAGTCATCGAGACAGGTTGTTCTGTAGAAACTTCGACTGTCTCACGAGGTGTCGGGGGCTCACTGCGAGAACGGAAGCCAAACGACTTCATCGACAGAGAACCCAGGACTGGACCAATGTGAGCAGGCTTGACCGCCTCA